TTGGTCTTGGTTCCTACATCTTGCAACCTCCCTTTTCGTGTTCTTGTTTTGTTTATTTAATAACTTCATCTTGCTAATGTTTAAAAACAAATGTTGGGTTCTTATTGAGATCATGAAGTCTATTTGAGAACCAAAACCAAACACCCATTGATTTATCTATATTATCTTATTAAACAAATTTAACAAAAGTCTTAAAATACTAAATGACCAAAATACCTTTTATACTCACTTTTTCACCCCCTCCTCTCCTCACATACACTCACACCCTCACATACACTCACCCTCTCACAACCGATTTTTTTTTAAATTATAGTTTTAAATTTACACTTTATACCCCTATAATTAATTAATTAATTTACTTTACGTCCTTTACTTTTAAATGTTTCATTTTAAACTTTTATCAAATTAACATACATAATTGTATATCAATTAAAACATGTATAAAAAATACATTTTTATTTTAATAAGTTACACCATTATAATCGTCTCGTTAATACCTTTGAAATAAGTCCAATATTAAATAGTTTTTTATTTTATTATATATTATTATACTGTGAAAAAATATTTTTAATATTTACGAATTATACTTTTATAGTTATTTATTTACATATATACTATATATTTTGGGGTTAGGCTGTCCAAATTGCACTGTATAATATGTTTTGAATTAATATGTTCTTGGGTTTTTTTGAAATATATATATATATACATGTATTAATTCAACCTTAATCTGAGTTTCTGGACAAGAAAGAGGGTAAGCAGTTGAAATTTCATTCTAAAATCCATTTTTTTTTTGTCTTTTCATGGCTTATGATCTGTTAAATTTGTGGTTTTCTTTATTGATTTTGAGTGTTTATCTTAAAACTCAAGTTTCTTGGTTCTTTGCTTTTGGTGTAAATCGAATACATTTGTGGAGTCGTTTAAATATGTTGGATTTATAAATATATTGAATTTTAAACTATCATATAATTTTTTCCATCGATAGTCTGTAATTGGAACCATAACTCTTATTTATTTAAATTGTATTAATATGTAAAGACCAGTGGAACTTCAAAATCGTTAAAATCCATTGCTCCCGCCGTATTGCGTAGATACACAACTAGTATTAAATAAAGAGGATGACAAGTAGATATCTTGATCAATGCATGGGGATTGCTATGACATCTCATTACTTACGAACCAAGGAACCTTTTTGTTCCCTTGGGGTTATAATACCCATATGGCCTCTCGCTACTACTTGCACTCACGTTTCGGACAATTAATTTTCTAAGTTTGTAGTTAGGTTACGAGGAAATTATAAAAATCCAACAATTGAAAAAATACTCTATTAATAATTCATTATAATATATATATATATATATATATATGTATAGAGATAATTTGTCCCATTTACACATTTACATAAAAAATTCATTATTTTTATGTGCGTGTACATATCTTACAAATTGATTATTAGTAGGGGTGGAACACGAAAGTTGTAGTCGGGGGGCCGAAATATAATATTATGAAAATTTAGAGATCCAAATGATACACATGTAATTTTTTTTATTCTTTTTTCCTATATTCTAATATTAAAGTTTAGAGAGAATTTGTTAATGGAAGACTAAGGGGTCGTTTACCAAGCACATACCTGATAAGTGTTTACCAAGTCGTATTATATTACCGGATGGACGTTGCAAAAACCGAGAATCTTGTATGTAAGGATCAAAAGTCTTACATTTGTAAGTAATAACGATGACTCTTACCCGGTTAGTGTTTACCATGTAAATTGTTGCATATGATGTCATTTTGATGTAGCACAAATTTTACCTAGTAAGGTAAGTGATTGTGTGAAATCTTATCGGTAAATGCTTATTGGATAAGTGTATGGATAAACGGCCTCTAAAACTCAAAACCTTTATTCTATTAACCGAAAAATAGTAATACAAGTTTATTATTTTTTGTATAGTATTTGAGTTAAAAAGCCGGGAGGCTATGGCCCCCGAAGGTCCCTATGGGGTTTTGCCTCTACTTGACTCTCTCTCTCTATATATATATAAACACTCACACACACATATATATAGGACAAATCCACTATAAATCACAGAAAAGTTGCAAATCATACAAACCAATCTCAAACGTTAATCTAATCTAACAAATATCTTGTTTCATAAATATATCAGTTGTTTTCTAATATAAAGTTTTGGTCATAGTCAATAAACTTTAGTTATCTTCCATACATATTCAAACCATAATAAATGAACCTTCATCATTTACATTGCAACACCCTAAAGCCCAAAACAACCAGTTAACCCAATAACTTCAAATCCAACTTCAAATCATGGTGGAATATATCAGTAACCCACAACTTGAGCTCATCATACTCGTTAAGGTTTGCCCCACCATTCCCATGATACAAGGATTGACACAGATACCAATTCTAACACCCTAAGCCCAAAGAACATGTCAATCCAATAACTTCATATTCAACTTAAAACCATGGTGAAAATTATTGGTAGTCCATAACTTGATATTTATAAGGAGCTAATAAATCTTATTTTCTATCATGTAGAATAAATTATTATATTCATAAATATCTTAATTGATTGGTTTGTATATATATATATAGAGAGAGAGAGAGAGGGTGAGAGGAGGGTTCGAGAGAAAATAAAAAAAAATTAAAAACAAAATTTGGAAATTAAAAAAGAGAGAATCCATATTTTAATGTAATCGTCCCTATAAATTAGATATTATTCATAAAGTTAATTATGCTAAAATGTAATTTATCCAAATTATTCACAATTAGGGCTGTAAACGAATCGAACGTTCAGCGAACCGTTCGTGAACCGTTCGGCGGGAAGTTCGTTTTTGTTCGTTTATTTAATAAATGAACAAACATGAACAATTTTTTTTGTTTGTTTAGTTAAACGAATGAACATGAACAAGAGTCTCGTTCGTTCATTTGTGTTCATGAATATTCGTTCATTTACCGTTCGGTTACGTTCTTTTGTATTCGTTCGTTTATATATTAAATTTAATATATAATCTTTTATTTATTTACTTTGAATTCAAATAATATTTATTTATGTTTATTTAACCTGTTCGTTTATGTTCGTTTAATATGTTAATGAACGAACATAAACGAACACGAACATACCTTATTTTTAAACGAACGAACATGAACACAAAGATTTCATTCGTTTATCGTTCATGTTCGTTCGTTTGTTCGATTAAGTTAAACGAACGAACATGAACAAACCTCCGTTCTTGTTTGTTCAATTTGTTTAGATCCTTATTCACAATCAATGGTTTAAAGTCAATTGATGGTCAAAATAAAAGGTTTCCTGATTCTCTATCTTTTGAGGTTTTCTATTATAAACACACCCATAGAAAATGAGAGAAAAAAGGAATGTGACATGATGTGAAATTCACGTGCATAAGAATAAATGTGTACCCTTTGAAATTTTAATTACCTGACATACCTTCTTTAATGCTACTCCCAAAGTCCCACCAATCAACACCCACACACACACACTTAATTTATTGATATTCCACCATCAATTACATTTATAAAAAATTCTTAAAACTTTTAATTGAATATTTTTATTAAATAAAAAGTAACCTTCAATTTTGGTCCTTGAAATTGGAAAAAAATCTACAAGTCCGTAAATTAAACCTCAAGGACCAAAACTGAAGTTTCCTTTTAAAAAACATGATGTCACATGTTGCACTTTAGATGAAAATATACGAGAAAATTAATTAAAATAGTCATTTTTCACCTCTTTATCATTTGTCTTTTAAGATCACAAAAATCATTATCTTCGTAAGTGGCATGTCCTAAACCAACTGAGGGGTCAAAGTGTAAAAAAAAAAGTTTTTGAACTAGGTCTACAAGTATAGGGACTAAATATGTAAAATAGTTTTTGGAGAGATGTTTGGATTAATTTACACATTTAATCCTTGTACTTGTGAATCTAGTTCAAAAACTTCTTTTTGTATATTTACTCATTTGTAAATTATGGACCTTCCACAAGATGAAAAGAATAACCGAAAATGGCTATTTTAATAACTTGACAAAAATAAATAAATGAGATTAAGTTTTATAAAGATTTATTTATGTTAATGACAAGTTTAACATAACGTTTGTGTCATTTCGTATGGTATCTCAACTTAATCTTAGATGTTATAACTGTAATACCACTTTTAAATCCAGTTGACGAAATAAAGACGTGTTATATTACATTACATGGGTACATTTACAGTTTAATAATTTATCTAAATAAATATTACTCGTGATTGAATAAAATAACATTCAAAATTATAATGTTTATAAAAAACCATCTAAATTGCATATTTTTGTCACAAGATCGAGTCCGTTCAACATCACTAAAAATTTTCTCAAGTGTTCAACTTCCAGATCCCATACGCTTGTTCAAGATGCGTGCATGCCGACTCGAACATCATATTTGATAAATAAGAGTTGGTTCCAACAAGTAATACATAATAATTTTATAAATAAACGAAATTAGAAGTCTTTCTAATACTCAAAAAGAGAAAATAACTTTTTACATGTAAAGATCCTCATGATCGTCATATAAGAACCTTGTGAGGCTAAAAAATTAGTCGAGGTGTACATAAATCAACTCAAAGTTTTACGATTAAAAAATGATATATAAAGCTTTCTTTCTAGCTTCCAATGTAGACCCTTTATTTAATAAGTCACAAGTCACATATGTCATTTAAATTGATACTTTTGAATGTAAAGAAACAACCACTTAAAATAACAATGTTAAATCTACAAAACACGGCACATTTGCTTTTGTTGTTAAGACTTTTTCATTTAAGATCACAAACGACTTTTTACGAGTAAATGCACAAAAATTCTTTGAGAAGTCAAAAAGTTGGGCATGGAGTGCTCCCATACCAACTTGGATATGCAAATACATCGAACTTTACATGACTTTTAAAGTAATTTAAATTTCAAACCCATGAAAATAACAGATTTTTTTAACCAGATATAACAAACTTTAATCGAATTTAAACTAAACAGTTTTTTTATACAAATGACAAGTCTAATACCTGATACTTTTATGCAACTTTGATATAAACTATATAATGTCCCAAAAAGAATACAAAATAAAGGGGAATAATATTCAAAAAAATAATGATAGAAGAGGGATTTATGGACTTAACTCTTGGTGGCATAAACTAACAAAGAAAACTCTTTTTTCTCATCTTTCTTGGCCACCTTCTCTTCCAACCATAACCTACTATCCAACCCATTTCTTGGTCTGAACATGAATACTGCATGACCCGACCCGGAACCAGATCCAGACCCGGTATTGAAGAACCAATCATGAACATCCCACATTAGGTCTACTGACAATCCATCAACAAATATGGTCTGGTTCCCTCTGAAATTCCATTGTAGCCTCTTGACCCGAATCATGACCCGTTTATCGATACAAACAGATAAAGATGGGTGCTTTTCACCATTATCTTCTCCGGTACACCGGATCAAGATATCATGGCAACTTCCGGCGTCGGAAAAACGAGCCTTTGTAGCATAAAGGGTGTTGCCGTAAAAATGCTCCCGGCGGGAAAGTAGTGAGAAATTCGCAATCTGTTTGTAGGTTTTGACTTTCTTGACGGCGGCTTCCTCCGCCATGTCTCCGAGGAATAACCCGAGCTCGGAATCAACCATGATCAGAACGTAGTACCCTTCAATGGGTTCGGCTCCGGCGGCGTAGTGCGCCGACGAAAGATCATAGAAAACTTCGAACTTTGAATTGTTGATTTCAAACGCTTTGCTCCCCTTTTTCTTTCGAAACAATCTTGAATTCGTGTTTAGACGGAAAGCCGTGGACGGGTCGTCGCCGGAGTTTATCTGCAGGCCTTGGGTGGTCGTGTTCCGACACCACGTGACGGTGATCAGGTGGTGGTTGCCGGTGGAGAGGGTGGTTTTGTATAGATTGGTGGCGGCGGTCTGTATTGATGGAACTAAATTCGGAGAAACACACGATGAAACATTCTTGTAACTTGAACATGATGAAGTTTGAACTGTTAATTCATTGTAACAAGAAATCAAACCCATCATCTTTCCGGCGAGAAAACTCCGATGAGATCGATTTGCAGAGTCTCTTTCAGGCAAAGATATAGATATAGGATGTATATATGTATATGTATGTGTGAAATTAATGGGAAGAACCGTGTGTTTAGGAGGTGTAATGCATATCTTAAATCTTTGTTGCATATAATAAGAAAAGGAAATGGCGGAATATGAGTGTATATATTTAGAAAATAATAATAGAATTCTTTTACCAAATATTTTAATTTTTTAAATTATATATTTGCCAGTTCATCTGAGATATTTGGAATAAAATAATTTTTCAGGTTTATTTTGCTTTTTTTTTTTATATAAAAAGTTGGACAAAGACGACAAAGTGTGTATTTGGATAATCATGAATAATGGTATTTAATTATTTATGAATATGGTCGGTTGTAAATTATATAATTTTGTCCATAATTATTGGATTGGTTATCATAAAATTGTGTATATATATATATATATATATATATATGTGTGTGTGTGTGTGAGATATACAATTTACATAATTATACATGATGGTGTAGTAATCCCAAAGCAAGAAGGAAAAAGCCTTTTGTTGATTATATTTTATAAAATACTTTGTCGTATCAGTAAATGTAACATCATAGGCCAACCGTACCAGATATAGTCTAATATATCTATATTTAGGCTCATGGTTTTAAAACATGTCTGATAGACGATGTATTCAGTTCCTTAAAATGCAATGTGAGATTTTACAATCCACCCCCTTAGTATTCCAATGTCCTGGCTAGGACATTAGTTAGGTTTTTGACCCTGATATTATTTGTAACATCTCAGTCAACTGTATTAGATATTGTTTGTTTTATCCACACATGTACTCATGATTTTAAAATGTATCTGATAAACGATGTATTCAATCCCTTATAAGACAATCTTAGTTCTCCTATTTTACCAATGTGGAATCTTACGGTAAGATTCAACTGATGTAATGATAAATTGTATATTTTATTACAACGATATCGCCACACATTGTAATTATTTTCTTTTAATAAATGAATGGAAATGTTATACTTAAATTTCATATTATTTAATAGTGCGAATAAATATTTTCAAAATGTGATTTAAAGAAATTTAATAATTAAAAAAATCAACATTTGACATTCCAATTTTGTAACATTAAAATAAATGCCATGAAAGAGAATTTGAACAAACATGTAACATATTTTATATCTATTGTTTCATTTATTTATCTTTATTTCAACGATTTTATACTCAAAATACTAAAAAAACAAAAACATGTGGAATTTTCTGGAAGTAAATATTCAATTAAAAATGGTTACTTTTCAGGGTCAACCAACCAAAAATCTCGAAATATAAAAAAAAATACTCCATGTTTACAAAATGTTTTATAATTTTTAAATACTTATTTTTTGCTTTCAAATGAAAAATCAAGTAACTAAATTAAACAAAAAGTAACACATATTACAAGTTACAAGACTTCTTACATTATAATATCAGTTAAAATAAATAAATATATTATGTATATTACAATAAAATTAGGTTTATAGAATGTCAACAATGTTTAAATGTTTTAATAGACCACTATATAAAACTCAAGTTTATTAGACCCAACCATAAAGTGTCAAATCTAAAAGTGTTGTGATAAATTACTTTATAGGATTTTTTTTTGAACGTATTAACAAGTTTTTATAACACTTTTGAAAGAAAATACCGTATTTGCTAATTATACGACACTTTTGAGAAATGTATTATAAATACATATTTTCATAAAACATTTGTCTTTGTATGTCTCAGAAAATAGTTAACTCGGAGCGTCCCAAAAACTTGTTAAGACATCCTATAAACATATTGTAACAGTTTTAGTTAAAACTTTTTATCGTTGGATCCTATAAACTTACTTCTTATAAAATAATCTATTGACACACTTATGCGTTATTTGACAATTGTTGAATGGTTTGATGCATGATAATTAAGCGATCGAAATGACTAAAAGGCTCTTATGATATAGTGCAAAATAAAATATCTTTGTTCGATAATTAATCAAAATGAAATTAAGGTGCTGAATAGTTCAGGGAGGCCCAAGATACAAAATTATTCAAATAGTTTAGAACCATTAATACACAAACTTTTTTTTGTCAAACAAGATTCAGTTCTTATCGATCCAGATGCTATCTCTTAAATAAACTATTAAAAGTTAAACTCACGGTCCCTTAGACAATTTAGTCGTCCTCTAAACCCAATTTTATTATAATGACATGTAAACAAATATATATATATATATATATATATTGCATAATATTTATTAAAATGATTATATAAATTTGGAATTGATAAAAAATAATGATATAAAATGTGTCCTGATGCAAAAAGGGTAATGAAAATGGTGGATCGATAGAGGTAGCAATGATAAAAGCTGAAGAAAAAAAGACAAGTCCCTTTTGATGTAGAAGCTATTATCAATTATGTGTTGGCTTTGTTTTTGTGATATTCATATTTAAAACCCACTAATAATTATTAATTATGATGCTCACACCTCACAACTCTACAATCAGAGTTTGTTAGGAAAATTCAAGTTTTTATGCTTAATGAAACAATATATATATATATATATATATATATATATATATATATATATATATAAATATACTTTTAATATTTAAATATTGAAAAAGACATTTTTCAAAATATTTTAAAAATATCCTCGACTCGATGGAAACCCCGTCTTTCCCTTTCTTTCTCCACTCGAGTGATAACAGTATCAAATTTCAAATGATCTGCGTCGGCGTCTTTAGCAATATCAAACTTCAAACGGAGTTCATATTGAACATCTATCGAGTACATATCCAATAGAACGAGATATGATAACTTTAAAGATGCGGCAAGATACTTTCATTTGTTATATTCTACCACTCTGCGTCGACATTATATATCTATTCATGAAATATGTACCTGATACATATTTGATAGGAACTTAAATAACTGTTAATATTGATGAAAATACTCGAAGGGATCAAGTTATTTTCATTGGAGATTCCAATAAAAATCGTGGGGTGGAGACATAAACATCAATACTCGCTTGTATTTCGAAATCAAATGTGTCTGATGTTTTTTAATATTTAAAAAGTTGAAGCATAAATTTTTATATACAAGACTAAGTTAAGCATATAAAAAGGATAAATTACCCTTTTTCTCCTACTTAAAAAGCTGACAAACGACATATAATAAGAGGTAAATTAACACGGCTTCCTAAGATTCAAAATATTATTTGATTAATCACAAATCCAGAAGAGAAATTAATTAAAATAGTCAATTTTTTTTAATTAAATTCACTTTTTAACCATTTAATTCAGTTTAATTATTGTATCATTTAATTCAGTTTAAGAGGTCGTTTGTTGAACGTTAACATGGTAAACGCTTCTTGGGTCGTTGAGTAAAAGGAAGTATATATAATGGCCGATAATTTTACCCGGTAAATAAGAGTGATAACTCTTAGGGGACGTTTAGTTTAATGAAATGGTTTTGAGGGATTTGAATTTCGTGGAAGGATTTGGATTTAAAATATTTGGTGTATTTGGTTTGATGGATTTGGAACAAAATGAAATTCACTTTTATAAATAATTCATAACAAATAATTATTTTCATTGTAAATAATTAAATTACTTTTTACTAATGAATTATTAGAAAAACAAGTGTTTTAAATATATCTTAAAACATTATTATATAGAAATCCTACGAAATCGTGTAAAATCCCAAATTTCAAAATACAATGTTTGAGAGATTTCAAATAAATCCTAGAATTTTAAATCTGAACAATCATGCAAACCAAACATGTGATTAGAATGGATTTGAAATCCAAATCTATTCCATTCCTGCAAACCAAATGGACCTTTATGAGATGTTTGTTTGCTTCTTAATGATGTCATTAAGTGTGCGTTTGGTACCCAAGGTAGAAAATGACTTGACAAAACAAGACAAAACAATTGTTCAACTTTTTGTAAAACATAATTGGACAGGACAAAACAAAAGAAAACAACTGTTCAACTTTTTGTAAAATATAAATGGATAGGACAAAACAGATAAAATGACCAATTTACTTATAATGAGTTGTTTATATATTTATATATTTTGATTAATTATGTAATTTATTAAATTGTAATAAAAATAAATATTTTACATTAAAAAATATATCATTAGAAAGTTTTCATCAAGACAATAAATTACATAAATCAATTAAATATATGAAAACCATATAAAAATAATATTTTAAACACAATAAAATGAAAGTTTAAAAAACATAAAAACAATATTTCTGAATTACCGCTCAACATCTGATGTATACTCTCTCTCCTCCCTTACATGGTTGTTGCTTTCTCTCTCCTCACATCGATGCTACTAAAAACCCTATGAAAATGGAAATCAACCTTCAATTTTCATGTTCAATAAAAGAAAAAAATGATGAATACGGTGACAAAGAAACAAACCAATCAACATGGAGAAAAAGAAAGATTTATAACTATAAAAATATTAAATATTAATATTAGTAATAGTTACTTCTAATTTATTTATAATTAATATTATTAAATAATAATTAATATCAATGAGAGATATAATTGAAAAATGTGACAATAAGCTTCTAAATCGCTACTACAAGTAGCATTGTAATAAGCTAGTTTATAAGTTACCTTACGTTCATCCAAACATGTACTCAAAAAATAAGTTAACTTGTAAATTGTCTTATATTTGCCAAAGCCTCTTAATCATACTGAACATTTAATCGTTATGAAACAAATAATTTAGCAACTGTTAACAACTCCTTATTTGTTAAACACTCACCGAATAAGATTATTACTTACTATGTCATTTTAATGACCGAGAATTTACAAACTATTATAAAGTTAAAAGACTTGATTTGTTAAATTTACAAGCGTAAAAATAAAAATTTAATCCATTTCACTAAATAATTATACAACTTATTAAAACATTTGACAAAAACTCTTAAAAACCACTTTTTATGCGTAAAGTAC